GCTTACTTTGTCTCAACACACAAACAACAACACGCGGCACCAGCCGCCTCAGGACAGCTTTGGAGGCGCTCACCTTTGCTTCTGTTTGCTCTCAGCACACAAATCTCCCACAGCTGCTGCCTCACTCCACGCCTCCTGCACTGTCCACAGCCTCCCCGCCTCCCCTGCTGCCTGCCTACAGCCTGGGGAAAAAGGAAGCAAACATCCAAAGACTTACAGCTAACTTGTGCCATGTCCTGTCTAGGGGAAAAAAAAAGAATTAAACACAGCAGCTGTGAGCAGACAGAAGTGAGGGCCCATTTTAGGGCTTGTTCCTTACTCATAAGCAGGTGTCTGCTGACTGCAAAAGTCACTCCTTAATGAGCAATGCAGCATTGCCTGCAGCAGCTGCTGGATGCTCACAGGGTGTCAGGTCTGCTAGGAAGAGGCAGCAACTCCTCAGCTGCCCCATGGAAACCTGGAGCAGGAGCTGGGCTCACCGTACCCAAGTCCCTTCCCCACCCACTGCGCAGCTTACGCTGATCCAGGGGCTGTAGGCCACATTTTTATCACGTTTTCCCACCAAGCAGGAGAAAAGCTGTTCAGAAACATCCCCGCCGTTTTTTCAGGCAAAGCTTTTGCCTCCACAAATCTCTGAGCGCAAAGCCTTTCAGATAACCTGGAAAATCACATCATCCCCCAACCTGCAATTAGCCAGAGACCTGATCATTTGTTTCACTGCTGATTGAGGCTTTGAGGCACGTGCTGCAGCCCCCACCTCGGCTAACAGCAGTGGGCTTCGTGTGTCCTCGCATCGTCCTCAGCAAGGACCAAAGAAATCATTTCAGTTTGCCACACAAACTGCATGGGGGGGTTTCATCACAAGAGAGGCACAGACAGGTTTTGTAGAAGGGCTTTCAGATCTCCCAGCTTTTATCACTGCACACAGAAGTTGGATCAATTCAGTCATCACAGGATCTGTCACAGTACAGCACCCTCCAGGTGCTGAGGGCTCTCCCTCATTAAGACTAATCACCAGATCTTAACCTCCACAGCCAATTTCCTCCCGCTGTGCCCACCCTCATTTGGGGTTTCATGGAGGATTTCCCAAACCTGAAATAATTCCCTCAACGCTGTCGTGCTTGGCAGAGGAGCACGCTTGACTCTTAACAAGGCAGACACCATTTTCTGGTACAAGTACTTTTATTTCATCTCCACAAAGACGAACGCGTTCACGCAATGCTTCCTGCATTGGAGGCTATCCTGGGCCACAGATCTGCACACTCCTTGGCCACAGGGCCTGTGATGGCTGAACCTGGAGGAGAGAAAAACAGAGCAGGACGTCAGAGCTCAGTCAGCACAGTTGTGTTCTCCTGGGTCCTTGGTGCAGGTGAGCAGAGCCCTCTAACCGAGCACACCAACCCCAGCCCTCACAGCCAACGTTTCTCTTTGGCCCGGAGCAGCATTCTGCTTGCCCATACCTTTCATTTCACCTTTATTGTTCACTATTACTCCCGCGTTGTCTTCAAAATACAAGAACACCCCATCTTTTCTTCTGTACGATTTCCGCTGCCGAATCACCACCGCTGGGTGCACTGCCAAGAGACACAGCAGGTCAGCGTTCATCTGCATCCCTCCCAGCACAGTCAGCAGCTCACCCCAACACCGAGCTCCCCTTCGCAGTGCTTCTCTAGGAAGCTGAGTTACACCCTGGGTTCACAGTCCCAATGCAGGGATAGGATCAGCAAGGCTGACACCTCAGTCACTCTATTCCCAGTTTTCCAGCATTCCTCTCGCAGGATGTATTGAACTTCCTTGGTTATATCTGGGCATACAGCTCATAACTCACATCAGCCTTGCTGGCATCACACTGACAGAGCAGAGCTGATGCCTGTGGGGTCCAGGGACAAATCCTGAAGGCAATAAGGCACTTCCAAACTGACAACTAAATCCGCACTTGGAGAAGACAAAGCTCTTCCAGTTTCTCAACCGTGCTTCTAAGTGTGTCAGCTCAGAGACAGCACTCAGCAAGCACACCCCTAGGAGGGGGGGGTAAGGAACCCAATTCCCAAGGCCGTGTCACATCACTGATTGAAACGAACAGCACAAGCTGCCACTTCACCCAAAAGCGATGCTTTTCTCTGCCCTTCCACGACAACTCACTGAGCCACGGCGCACAGACCCAACAAGTGCTTTTGAGAAGGGTGGAGCAAACGCTCCTGCAAGCGGGCAGACAACTGCCTTCTGATTCCTTCCTAGGCAGATATAATGCAAGACCTGCTCCTCTGCCCCCTGGGAGGACACTGCAGCGCTCACAGACTCAGCAGGAGCTGCCTGTTGCTACAATCAAGTGTGGGTTGAGGAGCGCCACGCAGGCACTGCAGGCCCGGCTGCTCCTGCCCACGCTCACCCTTCTTCCTCAGCTCCGGTTTGCCCTTCTTGACAGTCGCCATCACCATGTCACCCACGCCGGCTGCTGGCAGTCTGTTCAGGCGGCCCTTGATCCCCTTCACGGAGATGATGTACAGATTCTTGGCACCTGTGGAGAGAAGAGCTCAGGATCTGTGCCGAGATGCCGCGCCTGCAGGGACTCCAACCACCCCATCATCCAATGAGGCAAACAGCACAGGCTGCCACTTCATCCCATAGTGATGCCTGTACAGCACGGCCCTGGTGAACGATTTTCAGCTGGAAAAGGTCCATCTCCAGACGCACCCCCAGCTCCCTGCCTTACAGCTCAGCCCACACCCCCGCAGGGTCCCCCCAGACCCACTCGCAGCAAGGCACCCACCGGTGTTATCAGCGCAGTTAATCACGGCTCCCACGGGGAGACCGAGGGAGATGCGGAACTTCGCTCCGGAGGAACCTCCGCGTCCTGCGGGCAGAGGAGAGCCGTGAGGTCACCGCCGGGCGGCGCGGAAGGGCTGCGGGGCGGGGGGGGAGCCGGCAGAGCTGAGCGCTTGGATGGGCTACGGGGCACCGGGTGCGGCCCGCGGTGCTGGGCGGGCCTAATACCGCTGCCGGCCGAGCCCAGGCCCAGGCAGTGCCCCGGACCCCCAGCATCCTCCACGCCCCTCGCCGCGGCGCCCGCACACGCAGAGAAGCAGATGGAACCGGATCCCGGCCAGGCCCAGCGCCCCGCCTCACCTCGCTTCGACATCTTGGCGCCGGAAGAGACGGAGGCGCGCGAGGCACGCTGGGAAATGGAACCTCCCCGGCGGACGTCACGTGGCGAAGCCGGCCTGCGTCACGCGACGGTGGAGGATCACGTGGTAAATATCACGTGACGAGGGACGGCACGGAGCCGACGCCCCCTGCAGGCGTTTCTCCGCGCTCTCCGCGGGCAGCGCCCGTAGCCCAAAGTGCGCCGCGGGCACCGGGAACGGCTGCCGAGCAATCAGAGAAAATTTGGGTGAGAAATCCTTCTTTCTTCTAAAAGGTAGAAAGTAGGAGAGTGGAAATAAAAAAAAATGAAAAACAAAAAGAGGGGGCACCCGGATTTGAACCGGGGACCTCTTGATCTGCAGTCAAATGCTCTACCACTGAGCTATACCCCCGCGGTTCGTAAGGTTTTGCGCTGCATGCTACAAAAGCTGTCTTTACTTTTCTCTGCTCACAATGTTTTCTACCCCCAGCGGCCTTGCAGACCGCAGCTCCACGCCAGCCCTTCGCGAAAAAGGGCTTTGCTCCGCGGCAGCACACGCCTGATTTCCTCCAGATTGTCCTGATGTGCTCAGGAGGGAAGCACGGAGCTGGGAGCCTCACAGCCTGCAAGCAAAGAGTGGGAATTTCGTACTGAATCATTGCAGTACGTGAGGTGCTGTGACCTGGGTGAAGGGATGCAGGGCACACACAGCACGTTTGCTGATGGTACAGAGCCAGGGGGGAGGCTGACAGCAGAAGGATGCGCTGCCATTCGATGGGAGAGGTTGAGAGCTGCTCAGACAGCGACCCAATGGAGTCTGACACACACAGGGGGAGTCTGACACCCGGGGGGAAGTAACTACGTGTATCGGTACAGAATGGGGGCTGTGCTGCTGGAAAGGAGCTCTACAGAGAAGGACCACAAGGTGACCACAAGCCCAGCCCTGGTGGCCAGGAAGGCTCGTGGGAACCTGGTTGGCCAACGGTTGGCTGAAGGTTGACTGTGAGACAGTGCAGATGAGGGGCATCGGTGCTGATCGATGTCCGAAGGGTGAGGGCACGGGGGTGGGACTGGGCTCTGTTCAGTGCAGAAGGCAAAGCGTGATAACTCACAGCTCTGGGTGAGCTCCTGCCGGTGCAGCTCGGGGAGATGGAAGAGCTGCCCTGGGAGCCCAGGGAATCTCCGCTGTGTGCAGGGGTGGGAGCCGTCCCTGCGGAGCTTTTGGGTGCGGAGCGGCTCCGTTCCCCGCAGCACTTCCTGAGCCAAACGAGGAGAAACCGCCCACGGAGCAGCGCGACGCGTCTGAAGCCGCGATGGGACGGGAGGGGGAGAAGGGGGAAGGGGAGGAGGGGAGAAAAATATGAAATCCCAACGAGGGGGCACCCGGATTTGAACCAGGGACCTCTTGATCTGCAGTCAAATGCTCTACCACTGAGCTATACCCCCGGCTGCCGCTCCGCGCCCCGCGCCGCGTTCCTGTGCGGGACCGCGCGGTGCGGGGGGGGGGGGGGGGCGGGGGGGTGAATGGGGGATGCGACACGTGGAGCCGCTCGAGGAGTGAAGCGCGTGCGCGTGCCCGCGCGGAGTGTCGTGTAGCGCAACGGGGCCGCGCACCCGCGGGGTGGGGTTTGGGTTGTGTAGGGAGCAGCGATTTGCGCGTGCAAAGGAGTGCGGGAACGCGCGTGAGGGCGGCGGGGCGATGCGCGTGGGTGGGCGCGCGCTGCCGCCCCGCCCCGCGCGCCCCCGCCGCCCCTCCTCCCTCCCCCCCCCCTTATTTAGGGGCGCGGCGCGCGGGCGGCGGCCCAGAGGCGGACGCGGCGGCGGCTGCGGGGGGAGCGGGGCGGCCATGAACCCCAACTGCGCGCGTTGCGGGAAGATCGTGTATCCTACCGAGAAGGTGAACTGCCTGGATAAGGTGAGAGCGGGGAGCGGCATCCCGCAACCCTTCTCCTTCTCGATCCAATCCCCGCCACCGCGTTCTGCCCGCACTGTGCAGAGCAGTCGGAGCTGTCGGGGGGGGGGGGAGAAAGGCTCCGGATCCCGCAGCGCCGTGAGGCGGAACCCATCTGGATCCCATTAACAGTGGGGGTTTCTTTTTAAGCTCCGGTTCCATCGGGCTCGTCCCCTTTCCCGGAGCTCTGCGGTTCGCGTTGCTTTCTCTCGCTGCTTTCAGTATCGCTTCGGAGCGTTTCTTTCCCCGTTAAAAATAAAGCTTTTCTGCCACCGGCATTCCGGTCTTGAGGAGGGTGTGATGGGGGGGGAGGGGTGCAGCGATCTCTCGCTGTTGCCCCCGCGGGACCCCCGGAGCCGCCCCCTCCCCTCCACCACCCCCCCCCCGCTCCGGGGCGCTCCCGCAGGTTCTAAAATAAGTAACTCGCGGAATGCGCCGATCCGCGCAGCGACATTCCTGAGCCGCGCAGACCCCGGGGCCGCATTTTTCACGGATGAGGTTTTTTCCTGACGCTGGGAATCGGCCGACGCCGATCCATCAGCGCTGTGTCCCAGAGACCCTCCCGTCTGTTTCAAGCTGAGAAGTGGCTCTGTCTGCACAGCATCCCCCGCGGGTGTCCTGGCGGGGGTTCATTGGGGGATGGGGGGATGCGCTTCCTCCTATGCGCGCAGCCCCGCGCTGCTCTCACTGCCCGCTGTGCGTGCGGGGCTGCGGGAACAGCTCAGGGCTGCGGGGGCTTCGCTCTCTGCAGCCCCCCGTTAATCCTTCCTGCGGCTGCACGAGCCCCCCCGCCTCCCGGAAAGCACGACCCGATCTCTGCTTTTACAACGTCCGCGTCAGCTCCGTGCAAAGTCTGAAGGGCGGATTTGCTCGCACCGCACCGAGTGGCCGCCGCGGGGGGAGCGGTGCGGAGCGCAGGGTGACGGGTTTGCCTTTTCCCGGAGCGAAGCGCTGATATCGGCAGCGACTGATCCGAGGTCCTCGGCTGAGTCGGACGGGGGCTGAGCCGTTTGGTTGGGATCTCAGCGCCGCTGCTTTGCACGGAACGACGGCTCCATTTGGCAACGGGGGGGGGGGGGGGGTTCCCTTGCCCAAGGCTGAGGGCTGCGATGCTTCCGCTGGGGGAGCGAAACGGGGCTCCTGTAGTGGTGCTGTGACTGTGAAACCAAGGTGGGATTTGCTGTTAGTTCCTTAAAGTGGCCACAAACCCAGCGGGGCTCTCCCTGTGCCGTCTTCATCCTTTGAGTCCTGAATGGTGCAGCAGCAGCAAAGGATGAGCTGTGGGTGCACACAGCTGTGAGCTCCATCCCCGTTCTGCTGCACGCAGGTGGGAATGGTGCTCCGTGCACTGCATGCCCAGCAGAGCAGCTCCGGGCTGTGGGGGTGCAGCACTGTGCAGCTGTGCCTGAGCTCTGCTCCAGGAGCTCTGAGCGCCTCAACCTGGGAACTGAAAAGCAGAGCCATCAGCTCTCCTGAAAAGAAGCTATTTGGAGCCTGGCCTCCTTTCTCTGCTGGAGGGTGAGGGGCAGCAGGATGGGCAGTATGAAGAGCTGCTGTTCCTGTGCCTGTTGTGCTGCTCCTTTGTGGTGTTGGTGTGGGTTCGTGCAGACGGGGCTGTGTTGGGGTAAGGTGATGTTCAGAGGTGGCAGTGCTGAGGGCTGCAGGCAGCTCATCTCTGGGTATTCATGTTGTTATGATGCTGTGGATGGCTGGAAGGCTGTATGTAACTTATGGGATGCTCTGAGGGTTGTTGGTCCGTCTGTCTCATCTGAAAGCATGGGGGAGAGGGGAAAAGTGGGCAGGATAGGAGCTGGGCGACGGCACAGGGCAGTGCAGTGCGATGCCCCTCTGCTCTGCCACCGTTAGCAGGAAGCCGAGGAGGAGCTCGCAGGAGGAACTCGCAGGAGGAAAAGCACAAATACGTTGCTCTGAGCAACTGAGAGGCGGTGAGTTGTCCTGCTCCGCTGAGTCACAGCGCCCAGGGCTGTGTTTGTGCTCGGGGTGTGGCGCTGGGGGTGGGTGGCACAGGGCTGCTGCTGCTCCTGCAGGATGAGAGCACGGAGCAGAGCACGGCGCCAGCAGTGGAAACAGATGCTTAGAAGCTCTAAGGTGGAAAAAAACATTACGGGTGGAAACTGTAGCACCAGCAGCAGCTGTTCTCCCTGTGTTCGCTCACTGCATCGCCTGACTCGCAGCTCTGGGTGCTGAGCTGCTGGCTTGGCTCTGCTTGTTCCTTCTGTGTTTTTGTGGAGCGGCTGTGGGCACCTCGCGTGCAAAGTGTGTCTGCTGATGGAGGAAGAGCCACTGGGGTGGTGCTTTCCTCCTTCAGTTCTCCCACTCAGCTCTGCTCCCCAGGCGTCGCTCCAAGCTCCCAGCCCTTCCTGGGACCCTGGGCACGAGGTCACAGCAGAACACGGCTGGGGCCAAGCATCCTGAGGGGTCACACAGCTGCTCTGAGCTGCTCTCACAGGGCTCCTTCCAGCCCCTGGGTCAGAAGGGCCCTAAACGCTCCAAATGTGTCTTTAGAGCTCATTAGATGCTGCGGCCAATAATGTCGGGTTGTGATCTGAATTTTGAGTCTTTAACCTTGAGTGTGAGCTGGAGGAAGAGCTGTGCTGCTGTGAGTCTGTGCCTGGCATTCAACTGGGGTGTGCAGGGCTGGGGGAGGATGCCCACACCCCCTCCCCAGCATCAGGCTGCTCATCCTTATCACTCCAGCCCTGCCCTGATAAGGTGCTGCTGTGTCTTCCAGCAGTGGGGGAGAGGGCCTTGAAGTGTGCATAGGACGATCCATGAGGTTTAGGGAGTGCAGTGAGGGTGGGGGGGACCCTTTGGACACCTGTGTTGGACCGAGTGCTGCTCATGGCGGGGGGGGCTCTTCTTTTCTATCTCTATCTCGCTCCCTGGGCTGGGTGTCTCTGCAGCCCCACCTGACCCGCTCTCCTGCCCATCTCTGGGCAGAAAAACCCACAGCTGTACCTTTGAAGCTGCAAACCACAGCTGCTGGCTCTGCTGAGTGCGTGCGTGAGGAGGAGCTTTCACTCACCTCCTCGGCCTAGCCCTGTGGATTCCTGATGTGGAGATAAAGCAGCACGCTGCTGTAACGCGAAGTCATAAATGCTGCTGCTGTGTTGGGGTGAGATGCATTGGGAGAGAGTCCTGTGATGGTGGGAGGCCCTGCAGGGGCTGTGGGTGTCAGCACTGGCATCTCTGGGTTGAGTTTTGCAGAGCAGGGCCGTGTCCCATCAGAACGGAGCCTCGCGCTGACGCTCCTCTCCTCTGTTTGCAGTTCTGGCACAAAGCATGCTTCCACTGCGAGACCTGCAAGATGACCCTCAACATGAAGAACTACAAGGGCTACGAGAAGAAGCCCTACTGCAACGCGTGAGTGCTGCCACGGGGGGTTGGGGCTGTGGGTGCTGGGGGGTCCGTGGGATTCTCCTCCCTCTCAGTGGTTGATTTTCTTATGTCCCACCATATGGGGTCCTGGAGCCCTGGTGTGGTTCCATGGGACGGTTCTCCATTGCTCTGCAGCATTTGGGGATGGGGAAATGGGTTCTGGCTGTGTCCTGGGATCCAGCCCTGCTCAGTGTGCAGGTGAATAAGATTCTGCTGTGTGTGTTTCTTAATGTCTATAAAGCAGCTTTGCAATGAGATCTTTTGTAGCTGTTTCTTATACATCGACGGGTCTTAGGAGGAAAATGAGATGATGTGCTGCTGCTTAGCACTTGTGTAGCGAGCTCCATTCACAGAGTGCTCTAAAAACTCTAATCCTGACAACATCCTTGTAAGATGGGTATTAACCATATTAATGCCTAAGAATAGAATGGAGAAGCAATAGGGCTGTCAGTCAGCAGCGCTGCAGCAAAACTCTCTTGTGTAGCTCTGCTATTGCTGGGAGCGACGGTGGTGGAGGTGACACAACCATGAGAGTCCTGCAGGGCTGAGACGGTGTCCTGTGTGTCTCCTTGGGGGTGGCTGCATCCTGCAGGGTGCGAGAGCCCTCAGCAGCCCTTCTTGCAGCCAGAGCCCCCTCCCCTGTGGGCCCCATGGGCTGGGATGTGCCCATCCCTGTTCATACCGCAGACTTGGGGTCCTGTGCTGCTCCTTCCCTCTGCTGCTGTAAGGGAAGTGGGATAATAATGGGAAATTCCTGAGATTCCAAGGAGTCTGCGCAACCCCGACCCATCTCACTTTCTCAACCCCCTCTGCTCCAGAGCTGCCTTTGATGCTGGCTGTGGCCTTAACTCTTTCACAGCCGCTCAGGAAGCCTGGGCTGGTCTCACAAAGACCCACATCACATTGTGCCCTTCCTGCTCCGTGTGGCCGTGCCTTAATGCACAGGGAACTGGGAGCTGCTGGCAAGCAGGGTGAGGTTGTGCTGCCCCATGCTGTGGGGCAGAGCACAGGGCTCCGTGCTGCCCCAGGAGGGACAGGGGGACGTGGTGCAGCACGGTGGTTCCTGATGCTGCTGGTGCCTGCAGGAGCTGGGGAACAGCAACGTTTACTCTGGCAGGGGAGCGGCTGCTGTGCTGAGCACAGGGTCTGCTCTGTTTGAGCCGTGGCCTTCTGCCAAATTCCGAAGTTTCTTTCTTCAAGAGAGCAGAAGGAAGAGGGCCGGGCTTCCTCCTGCTCTGCCATTGCCCTGCAGTAAATCCAGGCGCAGCCTTTGGGTGGCTGCAGCTCTGGGCTCCTTGTGGCTTTGGTGCTGTGATGCAGCTGGGTGCTGCTGGCAGCGTTTGGGGCTGGGTTCATCCCATGGGAGCACCTCGAGCTTCAGGAGGTGGAAGCAGAGGCAGGGGAAGGGCTGTATGCAGATCAGGGATGGAGGAGAGCTGATCTGCAAGAGGCGGAGGCTGCTGGAGAGGCAGAAGTGTTTCTCTGCCCTGTCCCAGTTACATGATCATTCTGTTCATCTCCCTCGAGAGCACCTCCAGACAAGGCCAGGCTTCATCATATTGCTGTGGGCTTGCTTGAATTCCTGCTGATCTCAAAACAATTGCTGTGCTGAACGTGTTCAGCTCAGACAGCCGTGCTCCAGCACCCCCTGTGCTGCTGGGTTTGTTCCTTGGCTGCTCACTCAGTCCCCCCCTTGTTGGGTTTGCATGAGGCACTGCTGCTGGCTCACCCCTGCACCTCCTGTGCTGGTGAGGGGAGGGGAAACTGCATTTTTGCCTTTGCTGAGGGGTCTGTGCCAGTAGTACATGGTGTAAGTGTGCCAGTCCCTGCTCCCTCCATCTGCTGTGTGACCACAGCTGCACCCAGCTATGCTGCCCTGTGGGTGCAGTGTGGGAGTGCTGTCCTCCAGCAGCCCCATCACCTTCCTTCCCGTTGCTGACCCCAAGGACCCCCCTGTAGCCCCATCTCTGCTTTCCACGCTGTGCTGTCCCACACCCCCCAGGGCTCTTGGAAAGAGAGGAGCCCCAGCGATGCGTTCTTGGCTCCATGCAGTGCCCCATCTGGTAGCAGCTGCCTCTGTTCGCACAGTGAGCCCTCAGACTGGGGGGGGAGGGGGGCAGGAAGGAAAAGAGGAACAACTGTGTGCCAGGGGGGTGTCTGGGTGTTCGAGTGGCACTGGGTTGGGGCTCTGGGTGGAAGGAATGCCTCTGTGCTGTGGGTAGGTGGGAGCAGGCAGTGGAGTATCTAGGGAAAGGCCCCCCCATCCCTCTTCTGCACGGAGAGGTGGGGGTCGTGTGGAAGCTTTCATGCCCCCCTCAGCTCTGGGGTTTGGAGGAGGGGCAGCGCTCTCCTGGTGCAGGTATTGGGTGCCCGTGCAGACACTGCCCTATTGTTGAGCTCTGCTCACAAAGCAGATGGTGAGTGAGCGTGTTTGCTGAGAAGCGCAATCCTGTCATCAGGGTGGGGGTCTTCACTGCAGCAAAACCCCCAGCCCTGCGTGAGGGAAGGGGGGGGGGGGG